GATGATGAGTGCACTCTGGGGCACTATCCAGCACAACCAGATCAGAAGTAACAAAAAGTAAATTTTTCATATTAGTTCTACCGAGAATTTTACCCATACCGAGTTCCTCGTCATCTAACGTCTACAGCTTCTCGATGATGGAAAACATTGTGAGGAAACCTGCAAACATCTGTAAAGCAATTTAATGATGTGTATGAAATTTCCGTTCCTCATTGGGCCCGTGTGGAAACTACAGTCCAAGCCCTCTCCTCCCCTCATTATGAGAGGAGGTCTGTGTCCAGCATTGGGACTATAGATCAACTATTATTGTTATATATTTATTGAGATTATTTGTGAGGTAACTCCACTAGTTTTATTATAATTATGAATACAAAGATCGAACACACAGAAAAACTTTCGCTGACCCGGTGGGACTTGAACCCTGGTTTTTGATATATAGCGACGAATGCCGAAAGTCATTACAAAGAACTATAACAAAAACACATAGGAGAATTTTGACGACTCGGTAACTAGACCCGTGGCTCAGATGGTTAGAGCAATGCTACGGTGTAGCATGGATGTGGGTTAAAGTCTCAGCGGGTAGACGAAAGTTTTCTGTGTGTTCGATTTTTGTATTTTTAATCATATTATTATAATATTTTTTTACAACAAGAGCACCTCAGAAATACAAAATGGAACGAGCTCTGTTTGTAAGTAACAAAAAATTTGAAAATATTTTGCCTAAGCCATAATTAAACGAATTAAGTATGACCTTATAATTATTCCCAAAGTTTGCGTACCGCACTATAAAGAAACAACCCAAATATAAAAACAGCTGGTAAAAAGAACACATTTTCTTCCACAACTGTGCGAAGGGACTAATTTTGTATTTAATTAACTGTTTCTGTATCCGTGCTAATAAAGACACCATTGTTAATAATTACAATTATTACGTAAGCCGATTAAAGTGCCTTTAATTTGTTTTCGGAAACAGTGTCTCAATTACAAATTCATTTTGTTAACTTCCCAATTGTTTTGTTTAGTAATTACTGTTCTACAAATTGAAACCTAAAGCGGTTTCTACGGCTTATATACAGATATGACAATAACGTAAAAATACACATCGTAATCCTTTTTAATTAAAAATTCTGAATTTTATTAATATAATTTTATTTCCCTCAGTGTTAATGAAATTTATGCATTATTAAATTTTTAACGATCTCTGTGGGCAGCTGCGGGGCGTTTGCTATATTTATCTGCCCTCTGTTTCCTGTTTATTAACATTTTTGTACATACCTTATAAAATAAAATGAAACGAAAAATCTAATTGGCTAGTCAAAGCCAAAACTGACGTAAACTTTTAAAATACGGCGAGTGGAATAAAATACTAGATTCAAGATTTTTACGCGTACATTTTTCCGTTAAGAATCTATACTCCCTCAAATGGCTTTGGTTCATTCCGCATAACAGTGAAAGTGTTGATGAAATCACTTTGGAAAAAATATGTAGTAAAGTTTAGGATATACACTGATCCCTATATGGTGTGAAAACATGATTCCAAAAATTTTTCACCATAGAAAAAAAACACAAACTTACCTCGAAATTTTACAAGAAAACCGTTGTATTCAATGGGTACTTTACATTTATACCAATGATTTTTTAAATATCAACTGAACTAAATAGAACACGTATAGGTACTATATGATATACATTTTTGAAATGGTTTTCTTTTGGTTTGTAAAAAAATAAATTCTGAAATAAAGCCAGTGTGCTTGCCTCTCGACTCGATCAAAATGAACTGTATTAGGACGGGATAACTTTGGCCTCGAGCAGAGATAGTATCGACTCTTAAGCAGGCTGAGATAAAATATTTTTATTATCATTCATTAAAATAACGTGTGGAATTTAATTATTAAAACAAATATCGAACACAAAGAAAAATTCCTTCGATCTGATCCGCTTTACCAACTGTGTTACAGATCGAGTCAGCAGACCTTACGAATTAAGTGTTTGTTAAGGATCTTTTGTAATGGGTTGTTTCGGCTTATAGGCGGCAACTCTGAGAGATCTATAAAGCTTCTCATTTAACCGGTACCTTTGCAGCTACTAGAGACTACCATTAGATGTCGCTGTGTTAATTAGCATACCGGGGGTCGATTCAGAACCTTACGATAACTCAGTTGTCGAACGATTTCTTTTCATTTTTATTCACAACACACGAATCGAACGTCAAACTGTCGTATTCCAAACCGAACCGAAATGACGTCACTCCCGTACGATTACTCGAACTTCTCGACAGGCAAAAGCTACAAACGTTACGCAGAACACAGTTATCAAATAAAAATTACCGTACGTCCTATAGTTTACTTAACAATAATTAATAGGAAAATAAAAGTAATAATAATTTATTGTTCAATAAAGCCTTACATTAGGTAAAGTACACATAATATGTGAAAGCTAGATAAGTACTAAGTATAACATGTTACTTGGGAAATCTCTTATTATTTTAAATAGTCTGGATTTTGTTCAATTTTATTAATAAATAAAGTTAATAATTAAATTTTAATGCAAGATTAATGCATTCCTATATATTAGACTTTTACTGTCTTGAAAATCATATAAAAGGATTTTCATTTTTCTTATAATCTATTTCACCGACTAACTCCCCAAACACTGTTGGATAATGATATCGTATTCATATCCGAATCGAAAGTTTAACTGAATAGCTCGGAAAGCGCCCGTCGATTCGATCGAACGATTCGATTAAAATATCGAAGAGTTCTGAATCGGGGTCCAAGTTCGACTCCTGTCAGATTGAGGTGTTCGATCTTTAACAAACTAATGTATTAATTTCACAAAATAATAAATTAATACCCTGGTAGTAAACATCATGATATTCAATAAAATTAACATTAAAATACAGTGTTAAATATTTGATTAAAAGTCTTTCTGTAAGTGAAAAAGCACGCTTATTATTTGCCCACCAAACAAATTTAGAACTCTTGACAAGATTGATGTAGTAGCAAGAAGAGGGAGAGGTACATAAGAACAATATTATTATATTTAACGAAATGGTATTAAAATATGTACTTGTTATGTATTCTTTGGATTTAAGTGAATGTTTAAGTTTTTTTAGGATAATGTTAATGTAATAGAATTATACGAAAAATGAGTTGCTCGTATTCTATTTACCTCTGAACAATGTTATGAAATGAAATCATAAAAAAATATTTTTTCTCTCTCCAGTAGGTAATAATTTATTTTACACGAATACCCAAATATATATTCCTAGCCTCCTATGTAGGAGGTCCTTGGTTATTTTCTTGCATGAAATCCACACCGCTTTCTAAATTGACTCTAGTCGAGTGTTCTAGATAATGTTACGGAGTTAATGTTGTTGCTCTTGTACCTACAGGTCTTTGAGACCACATACTTTGTGGTCTCAAAGGTTGTACATTTTTATTAAAATTCATGATTACTATTTTTATTCTTTCCAGATTGAACCCACACGAAGAAGACAGCTCGTCTCAAACAGAATTCCAGAAAGCATACAGATTCGGGAAATTAGGCGAAGAGAACTGTAGGCGAGAATATCCCATGTGCCCTTTTAAAGCCTCTCTTTTGTTCGAACTAGTACAGTATCTACTTCATACGAACGTATAATTATGAAATATGAATAGGTAACAGTTGAATAATACAACCAAGTAAAGGTTATTCAGCGAACTTAAATGTTAGATGTTTATTAAAATTATACAATATTATAATTAGAAACATTTGCCAGTATTGAAAACATTTTGACGATCTTTGTAAAGAAACATTTATTTTATATTTTCAAATAACATTTCCTGGGAATGTTTTATTTGAATTTCGCTGTTGTATTTGTGTGTAGGATTGGTGTGTGTAGGTGATTATTTTGTTTTGCGTGGTGACGAAATTTTGTTTTCAACGTTTTGTTATAAGAAACGCTAATTGCGCACTGACAACCTGATACAGACAAGTCCTCGACTGGTAAACTAAAACTGAACACAAGGTAACAAAGCCCCCTTCTTTCAAAGCCACTTTCAAGGTAAAGGTAAAGGCACTTCTTCTAGACTCTCAAAAAAGGACGCTTATGTAACGAAAATTGCCTACATAGTATTGTGTAATAGCAACATACCTATTTATAATTAAAGTGACTTTTATATAATAATTATATTTAATTCAATTTATAATTTGGTTATATTATTGACACAGTTAAATCAAATCTAAAAAAAATATTATTTATTATGTTTATACTATCTTCGGTATTTATTTAGTTTCGAAATTATTATTTGTTTAGTTTATACAACATGAAAATGGCGGCAGCTAGCTGGTTATCGTATCCGCGGAATCCTCTAGGTTATAGCTGAAAATCAGCGGTTTGCTCCTGAGTAAACACCGACGCTGAGCTATGGCCTTTTTGCGCTGCTACAGCACACATACATAACTGGGTGTTCGGCAGTGCTGCGACTCTGCTGTTTTTTTTATTGTATTACATATTTTTATGTTATGAATGTGTGTCCGTAGATGCAAATAAAGGTTTTATCTATCTATCTATCTCGAGTGAACCACCGTCCTGCTGATAGCAAGGGAGCCGCCCAAATGTGATGCAATAAAATAAGATTCTCTCACTAGTTACTGGATTTTTAACATTATCCCGGATTGGGAGCAGTCTAGCCGTGACCACTGACCATGAAGCATATTATAACCGTTCCGAAATGAGATTGTTCTAACCAATGAAAAGCTTGACATCCCAATCATACTAAAATGTGGTATTTTCTGGATAAATCTCAATTATAAGCGAAAAAGAATCAATTTTGGATTATGCAACTGTTCTTCAAAAGCAGCGATTTGTCCTTATTCCCGGGGAGCTAAACTATTGGGCTACACTAACGAACCCAGCCTGCTGTGGTATGTTCTGCAGTCATGATTTTCTTGTACTACCAGCTTTACTTCTATCATTAACTATTCCCGTAATTATGAGTTGCCGAAGCTTATATCTTGGAGGCTTATACCCAGCAGTGGGTGAAGTCAGGCTGTACTTATATGATGATGATGATGAAGCTTATATGTATCATGTCTAAGCACCTAGATATGCATATTTTCGCTGTTTGATATCTTGAGACTCTATCGAGATAAGACTTGTAAGGGATAAGGATCTACGAAATTAGAAAAGTGAAGACTTTTTATAATATATTATTTATATATAAAAATAATGTAAAAGTGTTGGAGTGTAGTAAAACAGGATGATTGATGTAATTAATGTGAGATGAAGTTAAGGTAGAGAAGGTGGAGACACGTAGTTGAAGACTCTTCAGGTCTGATGGTGATGGATGATGTCCACCAATTCTTAACACATAACTCAAAATTAATATTTAAAAAAGCATAACTCAAGTCTTTTCTTGGTCTCCGCAATATACGAGGGTCACATCACACTGAAAATATTAAAAATTAGAATATTAAAAACGAAACAATAGTGTCTATTGACAACAATAGGTCGCTGCATTCGTCGACGGAAACACTGTGTGAAGCATTTTGTCATCAATCTAGCTATAACCACCGATCATGAAACATATAACCGTTTTAAAATATCGGGTTAAGAATCAGTCGTACCGGGGTAAGAAAAGTTATGTTGTAAATAACCGCATTTCATCATCACCCAGGATCGAGTTCTTTTTCAGAAGGTGTTCAATTGGAGAAGCCTATGTTAAACAGTAAACGTCTTCCTGTTGTTGACGATGATATATTCACAATGGCATCGATAGCCTAAATATGTTTTCAGGCTCCGTAATATACGCATTTACGAATTACGTAGAATATAAATTACATAAGTCGCCATACACCTCGTTATTTGTAAAATAAACCGATGTAGACTGTCAGATTATATGCAAAGAAGCCTTAGTTACCGACTTTTTATACTTACTCGTTTTGTCAAACTTTAATAAACGTTAAAATTAGGTGAAAACTTCAATTTATTCATATAATTTTATGTTACTGTTACATTCTAGTATTCAAAGTTTTTATTGTAGATTATGAAAATAATAATACAGTTAAAACCTTAAATTATTGTTGTTAACTATATCTTCACTGATATTACTTTTAGCTTCTTGTCTACTGTGTTTTCATCAACAGATAGTATTATGTGCTCATTGTATATGTTTATGTTGTCCTTGTTGATTACTCATAACAATTTTTTAATTGGATTACAATTAAATGTTAGTGTATTCTAGTCCTGTAAATGATCGATGACGCTATTGATTTTATTTATTTTTTAATACCTATACTCATTATATAATATAATGGTTTTTGGCACTCACAATTTCTTTCTTCGAACAAATCAAGGGATGATTCATGAGAAACTGTAAGTTCAACAACTATGACTTTGTTACTATGACTGTTCTAGAAAAGCAGCCATTTGTCCTTATCCCCGGGGAGCTAAACTGTTGGGCTACACTCACGATTCCAGCCGTATATGGAAGTATCACACTACCAGATATTTAACATTGAAAGATTTAAATGTACAGATGAAAACTAAAACGGCGTTAGCATAATACTTACTTCATGGTGTTAAAGGCGGTTCTGGTAGTTTCAATGCGGTGGTGTTACATCCACTTGCACTAAAGTTAAGTTACGTCTTAAACCAATGTTTAAATTAATAAGACACTTTTAAGGGAGTCACCACACTTATTAACGCGGAATCGGCTTGATGCGATTCCTATCGGACTGTGGGTTCCACTGTTGGTTTCACTAGTGGGTAAAGTAGGTAGGTAGGTTTCGCATAAACCCATTAAAGGGTTTTTGAAAGGAAAATCTAAATGTACATATGTGTTTAATTGTAAATTGAATAATAAATTAAAAAAAAAAAAAGGATTTTCAATGTGAAAACAAAGTTTAATGCAAGTGGACACTAATGTCAGTTTCATTGTCCCAATCTTCAGTTATTAATGTGCCTATAGGTATTTGCTCACCTTCTTAGGTCCTTGCCCTATGACTATTATATAGCGGCTAATATAACTTAGTAGAACCATAACATGCCACGGAAACGTCAATGCTCATAATTAATATTCAGGAAACTAGTTAATGTGAATTAAGCACGTGTCAAAGACGCTTACATATATTACATTGGACCAATAACTTCCTTCTGAAATGGGTTAACATAGATCTAACATTCTGGGATAGGTATACCCAAGAGGTTTTCAAACCTAGCCGGAACGCACCCAAAATCTTACTTAATATACTTACACAAATTATAGTCCCTTTTATTCTTAACTCTGTTGGTTTAGTAACAAAGTACATCAATATTGTCTATTAAAACAATTCATATAATTAGTTTACGTATTATATGTGTTATATTATAAAATATGTATTTATCAAACTAGTTAAAAATAATTAAATGAAATAGGCAGAACCTTTTGTTTGTATTCTCCTGTTGTTAAATGTGAATTGTGTTTTTCTTGTAGATACATTGTAGAACATTACCTAATGTTAGACAAGCATTGCCATTAGCCAATGCAGGCATGTAATTTTTTTAAAGCTACACGCCTGTCCATGACAGTTGCCATTCAGAGCTTTATATCGCAAAGATGTAAAGTGCATTGCCACTGCGCCCGTCACCCTGAGTTAACAAGTCCCATGTGCCTGTAATTTAACCAAATATTTAATAATAACACATACTGCTACAGTTGTAGCCACAGACATATATTTAGATAGATGCCGCAAGTGTACGTACTTCGCGTGCCCAAAGTAAGTCAAATTCACTTACTTGCCGCTGCTACACTTCAGAACGCAGTCGACCGTTATCATAGATGAACACCAGTCGAAAACGCGGAAAATTCATAAAATATATGAATTTTTCGCGCCATTATAAACTGCAAAAGCACCATAAGTGTGGGTAAACGGGTAAACAGGGACATTTCCTTCCACGGGCAAGTGATTTTGTAATCAGAAGATGCATAATTTATTTTAAAAACAATTATTTTATATTATATATATATATATATATATACTATATTTTATAATTTTGGTTTTGTATGAATTTCAAGAAAACAAATATGTAACCCAGTGTATGCTTCATGATTTGTAATACAATGCGGCTTTTACTTGGTGCGATATATTTGTAATCCTTTGTTAATACGCCATGAAAATCGAACGAACGCACTTTTGCATAATGCATTCAGTTTCTGTGCTACGGCCCCTTGTACATATTTTTTTGTCCAAAATTAACATTTAGTGATGTATATGTTAGGCAACACTGTTCTCGATTCTGATCGATTTTGAAAATAAAGGGACGAAAATTATTATGACCTTAGCAATATTATAAAAATATTCTATAACTCTTTTTTTATAACGTTTAACAACGTTTCGTTTTCTTTTTCAGTTTTGTAGTATCTATTATCTGTAATATCTGTAATTTCGATAATTTTTGCAGCACGTGGCCTCGAATGTTCGAATATAGTGAGCACATAATTACTTATTAATTATTACAATTATTTAATTTTTTAATTAAATTTAGTACGAGTAATACATACTTAAAAACATATAATGCAAAGAATTAATAGTGCGCTGTCTTTACAAAAACCTGGAGTTGGTCATATGTATGAGTTCGTTCCTTTCGAGGACGAAGGTGGTCTTGTTTATCCCACCTAGGATGCTATATAAATATGCAGAGTAGCAGAGTTAGAAATCCGAGAAATAATAAATAAATAACAAAAATTTAACACGAGGCTATCATTAAGTAAACCTCTTCTAATTAATAAGATTTTACCATATTTTGTCAGTAGTAACATTTTCATTTGACTTGCCATTAATCAATAAATTCCTAAAG